ATTTTAATGCTTCCTGATAGGAATAGTATTGAGGGTAGGGGTGTGGTTTTGAAAAGATACGTAAATGCTTCATTTTGTGCAACAGTAAGGTCTGTGGTTTGAAGCACCTTGGGAAGAATAATTTGAAATTGTGATGAGTCCATGCTTTCCTCTAATGCTTTATAACAATTTTGATACAAAAAGTCATTAGATTGTCTCAGCCCCTATGAAATATTCCAAGTGAAGATACACCAGCTGCATTCTCTCAGGGCTGATTATTTTCTTTGGGTAAAGGGCATGTCACGCAGTGCTTGGATATGACTTGTCATTCATATATGCCACATGCCCCTCACAAACAATTACGAAGAATTGTATCTTTCTGTGGAGCTATAATACACCAGGGCCTAGGGAAAGAAGATACATACTCTCTTGACGTTCACAATGAATATGTGAGAGCTGTGAAGAATGCCTTATTGCTCTAGGCAGGTAGCTTAAATGTCAGATGATAGAAAGTTATAGAAAATCAGCCTATTTTCTGTTATATCTCTTCCTGCTCTGAAAGAGAATTTCAGCAAAGATAAGATGGGGATTGTTTTAGACAAATCAAATTATTCTAAATTTACTTCAAGACCTGAACAACACTGTGTTCCATTCCAAACCAATTGTCCTCAAAATGGAAGTTAAAATGCCTGGTGGCTGGTGTCAGTGCCTGCAATATATTTTGAGATACCTTGCTCTAATAAGGCATATTCATTTGTGAGAAATCTTTGTGTTGCTGTTTTCTTCCTTTGGCTGCTGGTCACCATAGGTGGACATCTATCCTCATGTTCTTAAAGATGACCCTGAGAAAATATTCCATATGAATGCACTGGTTATTCAAGATTAGCTAGTCTTTGCTAACTCTTTGCATTATTTCATGAATGAGATTTCTATTGATCTGATAGAAATGTTGGATCAGTTTCTCTGCTGCTACAAAAAGGTACTACATTTCTGCACACTATGACTCCTTCCTGGCTTTGTTCAGTTTAACCACTCACCGTGAACTGACATTCATACCAATCTGCATGAGTTGTAACCATGCCCCTGTCGCGTCAGTAACTTGCAACTAGACACTTCTCCAACATTCCTAAATTTATTATTGTAGCCCAGTGTCATGATTTAATCCATGAGAGCAACTGATGCCGTTACAGCTATTTGCTCACTCCTGCCCCTGTAGAATGGGGGAAGAGATCTGGAAGGGTGAAAGAGAAAATTTTTCATTTGAAATAAAATCAGTTTAATAACTGGAATTCAATGACATTAAATTAAATTGGAAGTAGTAGTAGTAGAAATAGTAGTAATAATAATAGTTTGTACTGAAAAGGAAAATGAAAAAGAGATGGAAATAAAGGCAAATTATGCAGATTAAAATAATTGCTCACCCCCAATCCACTGATGCCAAGCCAATGCCTGAGCAGTGGCACTTCTGCCAACTGCCCCCCATGCTGAGCATGATGCCACGTATATGGAATATTCTTGTGGTCCTTTGGGATCAGCTGCCCAATAGATTGGATCCACATCAGCTGTTGGGAAGAAAATTAACTCTACCCCAGCCAAAACCAGCAGAGTCAGCAATCCCTAGGTAATGTGGTTTTGTGGTTTTCATCAGAAAGTATTAGGGATTATTACCTTGAATCCAGTAGACTTGTCTGCTATTATAAGCCTTGGGAGCATATCTGTTTCCCATTTTACTGTCACAAATTCCCCATATTGCCCTCATTTGACATTCCAATAGAGGCAATGTTGTCTACAATTCCTTTGTAAGGGTGCCTTGAGTGAGCTAATATTGTCTAGAGCTCATTTGTAAAGATGCTTACATGAAGGTGCTACAAGACAGTGATCAGGGTAGTTTAATCCTTCAGTGGAATCAGTGTCCATGAATAGCAAAATCTAGAGAAATTCAAATCTTAAATAATATAGGGAGGTGATGCAGATAAATATTTGGATGTGCAAAGGTAAGTGGAGACGAATGGTAACTGTGAGGTTATATCAGATGACTAGTAGAAGGTAAAGGGTTGTCTGCCTTCTGTGATTGAATCATATAAAAAGTTTGACTAGATAAACTTTGGCAGACACTAGAACTGCTGTGCAGTTTTATTAAAAATTTTAAGAATTTCTAGGAACAGAAGCACTATATCCATCAACAGTGAGGGAAGCAGGCATCAATGCTTGTGCATTCTCTACTAACTCTTGAACCTGCCATGACATACTTCTGCTTATTTATTTTAAGACAGAACATGAGTTGGAGTTAGATCTTTATTAGGATGAAAAGACTATGATACTATATTAAAATCTATTTACTGGTTCTGTGTCTAAGCTTAATGGTTAGCTGAGAAAGGAAATCTATAGCTTAAGGAGAATACTTAATTTCCTGAGAGTTACACTATACAAGGGAGTTTAATATGTGCTTCCAATCAACTTCAAAAAGAAGCCGTTCTTAGAATGACAGCTATATGACACTAATATGCCTACTTAGTCATATCTTCAAATATTCTTGATGTAAATAACTTCCACAGACATTTTGTCACTCAGTTACAGGCACTATTTTAAAGGAATTTGATTATTTCTGACAATGAGAGTTGTACCTTAAAAGCAAGTTGTAGCTTATAAGCAAACTGCCAAACCTATTTCAAAACAACTTTAGTCAATGACATAATATAATTTATTTGTTTTATTTTTAAAATCAAAAGCAAGAAGACAGTATTTAAATATTGAGATGAATATGCTGTATTTCAGAGAATCTGAAAGCACAGGAACTTCTGATTATTATGAGTCATTATGCTGTGTAAAATGTTTAGTTTAGTAACTCATTTAATTAGTCTTATACATGAGTACATTTTTCATTAATGTTTATAATTATGTCCTGGATACTGTTTGTAGGAACAAGCAGTATATTTTAGTGCATGAAAATTACTAAGTTTAGGGGCAGGGGCCCACAGGGGTGATGGGAAGTCATCTTCCTGTTGTATAATCCTTCCTTCTGGTCTGAAATAGAAATAATGTGTTAATGCTATGACAGGTCCAAATTTACTTTGATTTTATCAGGTAATTTCAAAGGAAAGTGGGTTTGACACTAACAGAATAAATACTCCCTGGATTTGTATCCAAGGAGGTTCAGTTTGACTATAAATATTATTATAGAAAATCAGTAGCTGTCAGTATTCCTTGGATATTGGTATTGTATTATTTTGAGTTATACTGTATATTCATTTGTGTTTGGTCAGAGCTGATATTAGTCCACTCACTTAGCAGTCCAAAGGAATGGAGAGGTAAACAAAATTACTCTTTTTTAATGAGTTTATTCAGTTCATGATCGTCCCCCAGTCTGTGAAAATAAGGTAGGACTCTTAGCTAAAAAATAATTTGTCAGTTAAAAAAAGATCTTTTTAGTTTTCCTCTCAGAAGTTCAGGATATTATTCCCATGTTGTATGTTCTGTCAGTCTGGGAGCTGTTTTCCAATAGACATCTTGAGTAGCTGGAAATATTTTAATATTAGTTTGTTGGCTTTGATCCAACCAAGATGATAAAAGTAGGTAGAAGAGAGATGCAAAGAAAGAAGGAAATAATCTGGCTTCATTTCAGGCTATTAAATATTTGGCTTGATTCCAAATAGTTAAATTTCAGATGGGCTAATATACTTCACCTCCACTAAAGGAAAGGCAAATTTAAGTAAAAGAAAGGCAAAATTTAGGGTAAGATTACCTCCTCTTTTTCATTGGAATTATTTTTAAATAATCTGGAATGAAAAATAACGAAGTGAGACATTCTTACCCCTTCTGTAATAAAAGTTTGGGGAGTTGCCAGAGATGTCTTAGGTACTTTGATTCACCAGCTGAGATGGCCTGCCAAGCAGTGACCTCTGAAATGTTCAGAGCTGAAAGTTAACCTCCATCATTGCTGTATCTGCCTCCTGCTTTTTTCTGTGAAGAACAGGAAGGTCAGGTAACACCATGTATATCACACTGTAGCAGTCTGAAACAACTCACTTTGGCTTGGGGCTCTCATGCAAATGCTTTCATAATGTTTGTTGAGGGAGTTTGGGTTTGCATTCAAAACTACAACCTTTGAATACAAGTTTATGGCTTGAATAAATTCAAACTCTTTAAGCACAGCTTGTTCATAATTGTGAAGTTTCACTTTGCTCCCAAGCCATGTAGAACTGTAAGTTGTGTATGATTACGATGCAGCAATAGGAACCATGAATCATTTGCTCCAGTTTTATAAGTCTTTGATGTGAGACTTTTGTTGGATATGATGTGCTTTTTATAGTTTCCGGATCTGTTCCAAGCTGTCCATGTAAAAAGGCATGGCTTGAGATTATAAATCTCTAAAAGACATAGATCTGTGTCAGTTCTAGCTACCTATAAGAACACAGTATGATTCCTTCTACAGGAGGAACCCAGCCAGATCTGCAAATAACATCTGATTCAAGGGGACAGATTTTCCTTGGAAGCACTTGTATCCATGGTCTGGAACCAGGTGCCTTAATGTGATTGGATAGCTGGGATGCTGCACACAGTTGCAAGTTATTTTCAATCAGATAATTAACAGGAAGATTCATTTGTCAATAACTGTTAAATGCAGAAAATTGCTGCTGAACCATTGGTGTCTGATGGAGTATTTCTCAGTATGTGGTCAGAGAAGCACTGACTGCCTCTGGCAGAGGAAGACTCTGGTTTCTTTATCAGAATTTGGAATCTTCATGGTAGATGTTCCTATTACCTTGCATTATTAGTGACCTCTGAAAGCTAAATAGAAACCAATGCTATTTCACACATAGCTATTCTCTTGAAAGATTTAAAGAAAGTATCTTCAGCTAAATAGGGGAAAATTTCTGAATTATATCAGTGCTTAGGAGAAAAATATATGCAAAAATTATGTTAATTGGAGGTCTGGTTATAATTTTAAATTTATCTTTTAGGACCACGCCAAGTATTTTCTTCTTCAATCAATTACATGGATATGAAAAAATTTTCTGTTTTCCATTTCAAGATCAAATGATCTCATAGGTTTTGGCAACTCTACCTCAGGTTAGTAAATGTCTCTTGTTTCCAGAAATATATTCACAACCAGGAGCATCAAAGAAAAAGTTAATTGCAGAGGTTAATTCCTGAAGGAGACAACAAAGGTGATGTTACTAAATATTTTTGATTACTGGAAATGTATTTTGAAAACTTTATCAACTCTAACCATTTGATTTTGACTTTATCTACAAACCCAGATGGCCTATTTGGGGCAGCCAAACAGAGAAATTGGTTGAGAACTGTAATTTTGCAAACTTGTTAAATATGAGAATATTTTTTCAGGGCTGTGTGCAGCTGTGGTGAAAAAATGCAGAATTGTTTACAGTCATTATGTGTTGCAGATGGGAGCCTGAATTCTTGCAGCTTCCCAGTTCCCAGTCAGAGCAATATGGAACATTACCTTTCATTTATAATAGTACCACTACCACATGTTTTATTTTCATTTAGCAAGTAAATATATGGTTTAGAGTCCACTGCCATTAGGAAAAGACTTCAGTTACCTTGGCATGGGAACCTTAGTTCATGTCATTGAGGACCAACTTACTCTGAGTTAGGACAACATAATTTGTTCCATATAATTCAGGTGAAGGATGTTCATAATCTAGGGAGGAAGCACTCTTTGGTGAACCAGTGCAAAGCACAGGCATGGTAACATTATACACTAAACCACTGAACTGTTGTGGTTTTGAACTCTGTATAAGAACTCCTATAGATTAGGACATAAAAACATAAGGGTTAGCAGATGTGCCATGCTTATGGTTTGCATAGGAATTACAATTTCAAAGAACTAAGAAAATATATGCATTTAGCATATAGTTATTTGGTGGATACAACTTCAGAAATGTTTTTAATTTGTATACTGTCTATCACTGTATTTATTTCTGGCTGTATTTTAGCATACTGCTAAAGCCCTGTATAATGTGTATATTATTAGTGGTGTGGTGCTTTTAAGAAAAGGATAAAACCAGTTTTAAATTTTCAGTGCTTCTGAGTACTCTGTTCATTGTGAAGTTGGAACACAAAATGTCCATTTTGCTTTGATCAAGAGTGTCATGTTGTCTCTCTCTATATTTTGACTCTATTTTGTTGTTGTTTGGATTTCTTTTTCTGTATGTAGTTAACTCCAGGGTAGTAAAGACAGTAGTAGACAGATGGCAACCATCAAAGAAATAATTAAGCATTTCCTTTAGAGGCTGTAGAGCTGTTCAGAATATCACTTCAAGGCTAAGAATAGCACAGAGAATTTAAATTACAGAGCAGTGTTGAATTTTTGTGCTCTGCCTCTACAGTTTTCTTTCCTTCGTTTAGGAGGATCCTATGATTATTTGAATCCATAAGCTGCTGGAAAACAATTGATGAAGTATGAACTCAAGACAATGTTATCTGGGGACAGGGAAGAATGAAGGCCCTAGGAATCAGAAAGACAATGTTTCTTTCTCATTATTTTGGGTCACTGAAGATTACATCTGAAAAGGATAATCTCAAATAGGTATTTCTAGATTCACATATGGAGAAGTAGGACAAGAGATTATTTAACAGCACAACACAAAATTTGTTGGTTAGGGTAGCTGGTGCCAAATACTCAGTGTACTTGGCAATAAATTGCTTTTTATCTAGCTTAATCTCCTTGCTAAAAACTAGCATAACTAATGCATACTCAAAAAAAAAAAAAAAAAAAAGAAAAAAGACAAAAAAAAGAAAATGTTCCTTCTTGGATGGAAACTGATTAAAAATAGCATCTCTTCCCAGACTCTGGAGCCAGGAAATCAGGTAACCAGAGGAGAGGGCTATCTGTAAATGCCTCTGCTTTTTCAGGGTCAGAAAGTTCCCTAGGACCTCGTAAAGCCCTGTTGTTTCAGTAAATGGGAAGTCAGCTAATAAACATGCCAGGGTTAGAAAACATACATTTGTGAAGAAATAGATTTTAAGATTGAGGAATTAATATGTCATTGGCTCAATGAGAGCCAATTTTAAAAAAGTCATTTGTCATCCAAAATATTACTGATGTTGCCTCTGGAAGAGTTCTGCGATAGGGTTGTAGTTAGACAAATACCTAGGTTTTTGCCAACACAGCACAAAGACAACAGCCTCAAAACTCTGTCTTTGAATCTCATACAGTAATAGATTCATGTGACTTTAATATGTTTTATGTTAAAAAGTCCTGTAGAGTTAGCCAAAATACTGTAGAATTCAGTGACTGCATAATAGAAATAATGCAGTCGTTTATATTTTGACATGTACAAAGATAGTTACAAGATGTAATGCTGTGCAAACCAGACTAACAAGGAATAGGAAAATATTCAGCAAATTTAACATTTAATGTTCTATTGATTCTATAAGTGTTCTGTTTTATTTACTTAATATGATATACTCAAGATTTTTCCTTGAAAAGTGTGAACAGATCTATCGCAAATGTCCCTGAAATAAAAGTGTAAGTTTTCTCCTGTGGTGAGCAAGAAATCTTAAATTTTGCTATACAGTCTTCCTGAATTGGTAGAAACTGGTGTGCAACAAAAAGCCAAAAGTTTAAATAAAGTGAGTAGCTCAGTAGACTCATGGACAGCCCCACTTCCAGCAGCTGACATATTCTCAACAGAAAAGAGTTGCAGTGGGATTTTTTTTTCATTAGTACTTCTGTCCTGGCAAACAAAGAAGTAAATTGCTTAGTGACTCACCCTGCAGCTTGATAACATATGAACGAGGTGTGAGGTCATGTTCTGCCATCCTTAAAGTCAATACCTAACCTCATAGGTATTTATTTGCTCTCTGAAGGTGATTATGATCTGCATTACAACACCAACACTGCTAGTTTTAAAACAGAAAATTAAATTATTAAGTTATTATACATATGTAAAAAACTCATTACACAGTTTGTCCAAGAAGAGAGCACTTCAGGAGCTCAAATGTTTCAACTAAAGATGATATGTGCAACTTCCTGCATCTTTAGTTTAAAAAAAGCGGCTTTTGAAGCAGTTTTAATAGCATCATAGTTTTATGAAAGATTCAGAGAAAAGATTTATAATTTGCAAGTCTTAAATGCCTGGAAAATGTATCTGGAGCTTACAGGCATCTCCATGATGAATACTCAGGCTGAAAGGAGATTTTAGTCTCCCTGTGGCATGCACAGATAGAGCTGTGATTCTCACTGAATATTTGTTGTGCTGCTTTCATTTTGTTTGGAAGAGTGTGGATAGATAGCAAAACACTGTTCCAAAATTAAAAGCTTAGAAGACCTTAAACTGACTTCTTAAGTCCAAATAATAACAAAGCAACATTGAAGGCCTGACCTCCCAAACTCAATAAGCACAGTGCCAAATAATCTTGTACAGTATAGGAAAACCAAAATATTGAACCTTATTTTAGCTCTGCTCTGACAGATGCACTGCAGCCTTAGGCTCAGGAGCTTTATGTGCTTTTCTGCTCATGAGTAACATTCAGCTCAAGCTTGTGGGGGAAAAAAAAAAAGAAAAATAAATCTGTATGTCCACAAGTGGAGGTCCCCTTGCTGCGGGGCAGTGCAGACTCTTGTACAGCTGTGGCAGAAGATGCAGAGTGCATTGCCCTTTGGGATTTCTTTGCCTGCTTGGGAAAGGATGTCAGGAACTAGATAGAGTCGAGTAGTGAAGTAGCAGTCCCGGGAACACCAGTGCTTTGCTGGTGAAGGCTGACAAGAGGTCCATGCCCCTCCTCCGGCCTTTGTTGTTTACAACAAGATTGGATGTAACTCTATCACTTCAAGTGATCTTCAAGTGATTGGGCCTATGTGAGTTATGTCAATACAAGGTTATATGCAGTGAAGTAGAAAATAGAAACCTATATTAGACCTAGAGAAAAAGATCGGTGAGGACTTAATTCCAATTCCCTTCAGAAAAGGTCCATCTTAACTCACCCCTGAGTCTGGGTACCATGGTATGGACTACTCTCAGCACAAATTTAAGAGATAGAAATTTTTTTTTCAGATTTAGATATATTTGGTGAATTGCTAAGGCCATTTTCTGAGTTATGGAGACAGCCCTAAGGACTGTGTTTGATTACCTAAATGCACTCTCATCTCTCTTGGATGGAGAGACAAGTTAAATGTTCTTGGACCAAGTTACCTGTGGTGAACTTCATCTGAGTGCTGTCTCTTCATTTTGAGGGTACTTGACTTGCAATGAGTCTTTATAACAAAGTGCTAATTGCGAACAGTGTTTGTAGTGACATAAATATGTCTGTTTAGGGCGGTAATCTGGGAAATATTCCTACTTAAAAAAGCTTGTATGCTAGGAAGTTTGTGTTCTGACAATGTGGTGCTTTTATGAGGATAAAAGTACAATGGGAACACTTGGCTGCTCCTCTGTAAGTTATGCAGCATACATAATGCTTTTTTTGTAAAATACTACATTTTCCTTCGTTTAATAAAATGGCTAAAAAGTTAAGTCAGCAGATACAATAGAATGAACTGTTTAGTCTTCTGCTTTGTCAGTCCATGTGTAACTTTCTGCTTTACATTTTGTAGTTGGATTGCTGTTTATTTAGTTGAAGGATGTTAGTTTGCAGTGAAGAGCAATGTTTTGCTCTTAGTATAAAATTGAGGAAATAATATAAAAACTCAAAATTATTTAAATAATTAAATGGGGATGCTTAAGTTAAAAAATGCATACATATCTGGAAATCAGATGTCAGAAATTTATTTAGAATTTCATATTGGCATTAAAAATTGTCACAATGAAGAATTACAAATATGATATGCAGGACTTTAGTATATCTTCTATGTGATAAAATTCAAATGCAATTACTTCAGGACACCTTTGTACTTAAAATTTGTCAGGAAGTTTGTGGGACAGAGCAAGAGGAAGGTTTGCATTCCTTTCAAAGTGAAAATGGATTATAATGCTTGGTGGGATTTTTATCCAGAGACACTTGCAGTCACTAGCCTTGTCAGGATTTTTTTTTTTAATCTGAGTAACTGGAACTGTGGCTAACAGTGTATACAGTTGCTAACAACATTATGATGGCAGAACTAGGTGTTGTCAGTATTATCTATTATAATACAGATATTTCTAGAGCTGTGGGTACAGAGGGTGGTGTGTGATCGATGAAGGATGAGATGACCTCAGAGGGATGTGGATTTTTTTTTCTTGTTGAGGCAGGGAGACACTGCCACACTGTCTCTGATTGTTTTCCCTAGGTTTTTGGCACAGGCTTGTCCAGGCAGCAGAGCCATTTGCAGCATGAAGAACTGAAAGGATTTGGCATTATCAAAGTGTTTATGGAGGCAAAAGTCACTGCCACTTTGTCTGGGTATAGCACAGAGCCTGTCAAAGGTGGCCCCAGATAAGGTGAACTGATGAGAAGCTGAGAGCTCATCTGTTCCCATACACATCTGAAATTCCAGGAATGTTATATCAGTGTGCTCTACCTTGCTTGAGAGGACAGCAGGAAATGTTGCAGAATTTGTTAAGCTTACGAAAGGTTACATTCAGTTGGGATAGTGTACAGCTTTATCATTTCATGTTCTTGTGAAAGAGTAACTTGCAATGCTGGGAGACTTCAGGCCTGGAGCATTACATAAAATACTTGACAAAGAATGTTAATACTTGTCTTTTCTGTTCTGGTCAGTTGTCCTTAAAGTAACTCCTGCAGACTCCATCTGGACATCCTTATGTGACTTTGAAAAAGTCAGCACTATAAACTTCATCTGACTGTTAATTTACTGTGTGTTGTTTTTTTTTTTTTTTTTTTTTTTTTTTTTTTTTTTTTTTTCCTTCTCCAGACAGATGGAATAGTAAGAAAATCCCCTTTGCTGCCAAGAAACAAGAAAAATGATGATATCATATTCAGGTGCTTTCCTCTATTCCATTTATTCTGCATTGCAATGATGTTATGAAGGGAAAGGTAAATACACATATTCTCTGACAAAGTTTCCCTGCACATGGAAGAATGAAGAAAAATAGGGGGAAAAATGTGTTGGAGGTTTTTCGTTTTGGTTTGGTTTTTTGTCCAGAGGGCTGCATTAACAGGACTTTCATATATAAGGTGCAAAGGTGGTTGTTCTGTTTTTCTTGTTGCATGTGACCCTTCAGATGGACAAATATATTGTACGTGGATCTTAACCTTCCAACAAGAAAGAAGGAATAACCATGTTAAGTGACCAGCTTGTAGGTATCTCTACCTAGTCTTTTTTAAGTAGGATGATTCTTCCTCTGTGGTAGAACAAGCTTCCATTTCTTATGATTTTTTGAGGTGACAAGGCTGCTATCTTCCATAATGTATATTTCTGCATATCTGAGAAAGTAGTCATCACACTTCTATTCATGAGCTTGACAGCTGACTGTTAATTGATGTTAGCTAGAAAATATTAAATCCGTGGACTAGAAAACCCTCTGCAAGACATAGGAGTTAATCACACATGCTGATATTATGAATGCTAGCCACATGTGGGTATGCTGGTAGATTTTGAGAAGTTTGGATTTTGCTCAAAGGCTCAACTTTGCTATAAGCCTAAGGCAAGAGTAATTTCCAATTTTTGCAAAAGGATGATCTTTTTAGCATTTCATATTGAATTAGTTACTTCCAAATTTAGATATATGCACATATCTAAACTCTTAACTCTGTTCTGAGGCTCTTTATGGGACTGCTACAGATGGAAAACCAATGTAACCAGCTTCCTACCTGTAGCCCTTGTATCCCAAAAAAGAAAGGAATAGTGGTAGCAAAGGGAAGTTGTCAGAAACTACATGTTCAGGAAATCACAGTAGCTGCTGCTGCTTCGTAAGAGCCAGTACAGTCAGCTGCAGCTCAGGAGAGCCATGGTTTAACACCAAACACTTCTCCAGAGTGGGTGTTTCAGAAAAAAGTTTTAATCTAAATTAAAATATCAGTAACTTGTGTTGACTAATGCAAATTATATAGGCTTGTTCTTTATGTCCTTGATAGTAATTGTATTACCCAGTGCTCAATCTACAATTGCATTTTCAGTTAAACTCTAAACTAAAAAAATGCCCTCATTGTCTTGTAGATGACTTAACATCCTCCTTTATTGTCTTCTTTGAAGGAAGTTGTTTCTCAACAATTTTTCAGTCCATCTGGAGAAGAATGATTTCCTAAAGGTATCCACAGACTTCATTTAGATTTTAGGATCACTCTTCCCACAACTAATTGGAAATGGTATCTCTGTTTACCAGAAGACTGGCAGGCAAGAAATGCAGGCACATATATAAGAATAAAATGTAAAATCTCCTGAAAACCAACTGCTCTTTAAACACTTGTTTGTTTGTTTGTTTGTTTTTCCTAAGATGATGGCAACACTGATTTATATTTAACTTTGATTTATTCAGATATTGGTGGTGTTTTCCTTTCTTTTTTTTTTCTATTTGCTATGGCAGTTTCTCCTGAGATGTTATATATGCTATTTGTCCTAAACTGAACTGTAACCTTTTTCTAGTTGTTTCTGCAATTTTTCTGGCTATTTCACAATTTTTAAAATTCTATTCTCCAAAGCATTTACAGTTCTAATAGAATCATAGAATTTTTAAAGTTGGGAAAAAACCTCATTGAGTCCAGCCATTTACCTAATTAATGTCTTTTCACCACTAAGCTGTCCCCAAGTGACACACCCACTTTTATTTTTTAACTCTTCCAGGAATGCTGACTCCGCCATGTCACTGTTGCAATAGTTAACTTCTTCTGTGGTTCATCATCTCTATCTTTGATGAAAATATTTATCAAGGTCCAAGCCCACAACAGAACGCAAACTTTCACAACAAATTATTTGTAGCTATTGAAGATATTTTTTAGTTTATTCATAAAAGTATTGGGTCATACAGTGTTAGACTCCTAACTAAATTCACAAGCTCTATTTTCCCACGGAGTGGTTTGGCACAAATTGCTTACCTGTTTGTTTCATAAGTACCTAGAAATAATATAAATAAATAGTTTGTTGGATGATCTTTTCCTGTTTTTTTTTCCTGGGAACTCAGTTACAGATAACTGAGTCTAAAATTCCTAATTTTTTGCTGAACTGTAGTCATTTTTTTTTTTTTTTTTCCTCCTGGTTCATCTGTATTCCATCGTTTAATGCAATCTTCATCTTCTGGAATTTCCTAGCCTCCATCATGCAGAAATTCAGAAGAGATGACTGAAATGGGTCTGCCTGGCCTTGAAATACAGGGATCTACAGTTTTGATTCTCTCCCTGTTCACTCCAGACTGAAAGGTGTTTTGGCTCCAGATAAGATTAAATGAACCTAGACTGTCTCCAGTCATTGTTGATCCTGAGCAAGTCACTGAAGATCCTACTATTTTCCTAATTGACCAGTCCTAATGGTTAAATATAATTCTGGATAAATTTTTTTCTTAATGTCCTGTGCAGACTTCTGTTTTTTAGCATAAAGGATTTGCTCCCTGCCTGGCCTTTGATTGACATAGGTGACAATTAAATTATTTGTTTCACTTTTCTGCATGTTTAAACTTTATTGTCATTCTCTTCCTAGTCTTGCGTAAACTGTGGAAGCCTGAATCCTTCTTTTTGTGTTCTGTAAATCAAGTCTCTTAATTGTTGCTGGTCTTTCTTGTGTTCTCTTTAGCTTGTCTAATAGATGGTGACCAAAACTGGATGAAGCACTTCAGCTGAAATAATCCATTTTTTGGAAGTGGTACAAAAGGAAAAAAAAAAAAAAATCAATCCTGTGCACATACTAATTTTATTACTTTGTAGATTGATGCAACCGAACTGTATACTTGCATATGCTTAAAATGCATTGCAAGATGTTTCCTTAGCCCTGTTTTATTAATATGTTAGAAGTTCTCTTCACAGACAAAATGTAATTCCATGAAAACAGTGTGATATTTCAAGGAAGGCAAAAACTCTTCATCAAATGTAATCAGTTTTAAAGAATGAAAAAATAAAAAGCATAGCAATAATGAAACCAAACCCCTTAATTGTAAGCTTTGCAAACACAACTTGGTTAAATCAGTTTTTTTCCCCCTGATGTATTCACAAAATGGCCAGCTAGCTCATGACTTCTCAGAATTATTTTGCTGCACTTAAGGTGAAGGGAAATTCCCTCTGTGGCAATTTGACTTCCTCAACAATACAAGCAGAACCTATTTCCCTAGTAGAATGGAGCACTAGTGCTCTCCAGTTTGCAGTCTGGATTACAAGCCACTCCTCTCCTTGGTATAACAAGTCTCACCACATTTTCACAGTGAAGCTTCCTAATGTTGAATAAAAAGGATGAGTGAAGGTGAAGGCAAGCAAAAAGCAGTGTTGGCTACTCAGGCAGGAGAGGTTAGCTGCTCATTTCAAGGGTCTTCCTACAGCCAAAATTAATGTGTTTTTATAGACAATCAGTTGCCTGCTTTGCCCATACCTAAAGCTATGCCCTTTTTCAAATGATGTTACTGGGAATTCTGCTCAGTGCTTCCCCATGAACCTTATGTCAAAGTTTAGATATTTGTGTGATGCTCCAAACCTATTCGGCTTGGTCTGTCCCAGGATTATGAAGTATAATTTTTAGCTCTATCTACAGCTAAAAAAAATTGCAAATTTCTGTGTAAGTATCAAATTAACAGTTGGAAGTCTCCTAAATCAAGGGGTTTGATTCTTTCCTCCTTCTCATTCTTTATGTGAAGATGAGTGATTTGGTAATCCATGATAAGGTATCTGGCACATAAGCTGCTAAAAGCAGGACTGTGCCTGATTTAGCACACTGACATAGGGGCAGTGCTAGAGTTCAGACAATATCCTCAGCAGGCCTGGCTAGCTGTGTCAGCTGTGAATTGTAAAGTCCCCTAAGCAGGAGAATTTAATTTATATCTTCAGCAGCACTAATAAATAATAAACAAGAGACACAGGCTTTTAGATGAAATTTAGTTTTTTAACACCTGGGCCTCACTAAGCATAAATGTGAGGTAAGAGAGATGCTATCCTTGAGCATCCTGTTTCACAGATATGTTGGGAGTTTGTAGCAAGAGAGTGGAGATCATGGTGCTACAGCCTAAGCACCCATCCTACCCATGTTTTAGCAAGAGGCCTCCAGAAAACTGAAGTCCCAAATAGGTTTGTTTATAAAGAGGTGGTACAGGAAGTGGAAACCTGTAGCAGAGGCAACATGAAAAGCATTGTGACCTTCCTCTGGTGTGGCCAGCACTACTTCCATGGTGCAAGTGAGAGGCTTTGGTTTTTGTGTCCTTTGACCAGATTTGTTTTGCCTCTGCAAAACTCTGATGACTGAAATCTGAAATACAGCTGGGGTTAATATCAGACTTTCAAAACGTTTTGAACAAAGAAGACCTCAGAATCCTCCTTCAAAAATTCTGCTCTTTGTGCTCAGAAAAATGCCTGCTTTTTGCTCTCAGAGATAATTGGCAGAGCTCTTTTAAAATTTAGTACAGGTACTGATTATCAAGTTCTTGGTTCAGGTGACACACAAGTAGCAAAATATCCCTGATAACTATAATTTTCCTGAATATATGAATGACATTATTTTGTTAATAAGTATCTTTTCCTTCTATGACTGGTTGTCATTACTATGCATATGTGAAGTATAGGCAAACTAATAGATAATTTAATGTTTTTAAACTGAGTATGCAATAGCAGAACAGACTGGTAGTCTCCTCTTCTTAGTATTCTTGCTCTTGAAGTGGTCAGTAGCAGAGGTTAGGGAAAACTATGAGAAATTTTACAAGTTGTAGATTACTTTTCATTTCATGATTTTCTCAGGCTCCAGTAGTCAGTATTTTAAGAAAATTCCTGAAGGTTTCATCTGTTGTGTTATTTGTGTAGTCATTAGCTCCCGAAGTCAATTAACACACTTTTAAAATCTAGAATTTATTTGCACTGTTATGATCAGTGACATCCCATGGCAGTGAATATAATAGTAGTTGTAGTAGCAGTGTAGTAGTAGTTATAATAGTAATAATAATGATGATAATAATAATAAAAATCCCCTTGAAAATTATTCTAAAATCCCCTTTAGTTTTAAACCTACAATCTCAAAATCTCATGGTGGAAAATTACTCTTCACAGTTAATTTGCAGTGACACAGTGACATTTACAGTTTGACAGCTAGACCACAACTACTCAGTCATCTCTTTTTCCATGAAGAGCTTCTGCCTACTTACCTCGCATAAAAGTTACTCATAAGTTGTCCTACACACATCACTCACTACCCATTCAAAACCTAGGTTTTGCCTCAGGGTAAACCATGAATATGATCTAACTAGAAATAAAACCTTATGAAACTGGGAAATTTCCATTTTAAGAAGTACACTGGGTTGAAAGCCTGCTAGGCTTCTTGCCTGGCTCCTGGGGTACCTGTTGTTCCATGGTAAAAGCAATGAGTAAGTATATTGGCTAATGGCAAAGGAGAAAATGCATGCATCCTCATCAGCCAGCATCAAAATTATTCAGATGTAAACTTAACCTAGATATGAGTTTTGAAGATTTCATTTCCTTGCAGGTGACTGGTCCTTAAGTATATAATAATGAGATAACATTTGGCAACTCATCATGCAAATCTGACTGACCAAGGGCAATATGGAACAATGAGGGTAGGAAGGAAGCAGGAAACCTGCTGCTGTCATGCTGATGAGTCTGGAAACTCCTGATTCTAATTACTTTCTTAGAATCATTAGCTTTAGCAAATTCCAGAGTGAGTATATACTACTTTTTAAAATAACCATTAGAAGTATTATAACACTGGAGGTTAATGACCTAACTTTCCATTGAGTTAAAATTACTTTTTTAAAGGAGATGATGGCTATATTTCTCATCTGACCTTTTGAGCCATGACCACAATATTTGTCTGGCTGAGAGCCTCATCACTTTCTCCATAGAAGAAGAGAGGCAAAGAGATGGAGAGCTCCAGGAATAGCAGGACATGATAACAGTTCTATCACTGCATTACATGTAAGTGAGTCATGTAACAGTATCAGTCTGAGTAGTTTTGCTACTTTACTTTATGCCATAGCTGAGATTTGGGCTACCTGACCACTTCTTCTTGGCTACAATTTCACTGGGACACTTGGTCCAAGCAATACAGGTTGACTGTATCTGTATCTATCTGTTTGTGGATAACCTCAGGGACCCGGCTAAGTGCACCTACATCACAAACATGAAACTGACTGAACTGCGAATAGAATAATCTGAGTAGCCTTTATGGAGAAATACAATGGTCAGGGCACTAGTGCAAACTAGGTTTAACGCCAGTGGTCAAACCTATGATTTCAAAAAACTTATTTTGAAATGGCAGCTATGTATGTGGTCATCTCTCCCTGTGTGATGGTACAGCTAATAGAAGAATAAGTAATCTGTCACATATCAAGTGGTTTATTCTCAGAGAATAGATTTCTTTACTCCTAGATAAATATCATATCCTCACATATCTATGAAATACTTTACAATTGTGCTCATGCAAGTACAGCTGGAAGGGTAAAG